TATATATATATATATACACACGTAGCTCTGTAATTTTTAATCGTCTGTTAATTAAATGACAGATGTTATAATTTCTGCTTTATGCGAGTGTACTTAGGATGATTTTCATATTTAGCAAATTGAATATTACAAAATTGGACGTTATTTAATTTGAAACAAAGTGACATGTATTTATGATGGTAACATTAATTTCGACATATTTTCATTTATTTTTATAAATCAAAAATTTAATTGTTAAACTTCATAAATTCAATTATTAAAGTTACTTTAGCATAAGTAAATATTACAAACATTTAAATTTTTTTAGTACTGATTTAATCATATGTATGTAGTCGATAAATTCACATTTTCATTCCTTCTCGATGTTCTAGTAAAAGTTAATAAAAGTTAATAGTACATATACATATACAAACACATATTTTTCTATTAAACTATAAAATGGCACAAATTACTTCGTAGTTTTCATAATAATAGATTGTGTCAAAGGGAACATAAATTCTAAAACTTTTTTTCACAATCTCATACTAACAACATTTATACAAACTAAAGTATTTAAGGCAGTAATAATTTCATTGACTAAAATTTCAAAGTATTAAACTATATGATTTACAATTATTATTTTATATGATTACTTTTATGATAATTGTGTAACTTTCAGATTTTAAAAATAAATATACTATGTATACTTGAAATCACATATGAAACCTCTCATGTACATATATAATTATATTTTGCTATAATAATGTTTTTCCATTAAAATATTGTGTACATATATACTGTAATAAATGAAAAATTATTAGTTTTTGATTTTTTAAAAACTACTTTTGGAAAACGCATATACATATATATTTTTTTTGTAAAAGGTATATTACATAACAATTCCTAAATTTACGTTTATTTATATGTATTAATTTATTTGATTCGTAATCTTTATGAATTTTCTCTATCCGAAACTAAAATAATTCTCTCCTCTAGGGCTGCTTAATATTAATTTGATGCTAAATTTAATTTTACTTTGCAAGCTCTTACTTTCTTGTACATATATTTTCTCTAACTGTGTAGTTAAAGTAGTTAGAATTGTTTAACAGCATAGTTTTATTGCTTTCAATTATTTAATTACATGTATTTGTAAAATATTTCAAATACATGTAAATATTTAAGGGGATTTTCGATATATCTGTCAGTTAGCAATGTGATTGTATATAGAGAATATATATTTAGGTATAGGTAATATTATTTCCTATAAATGATATTAATAGCTATGAATGAACGTGACAATAAAGAATTGTCAAGTATTCTTAAATATATTTTTTAAAAAATTCTTGTATACTAGAATGCCTTTTATTTTGTATTCAATAAATATTTTTTGTGACATAATTCGAATTTGTTTACTTCCCAACCTTAATCCCGTCCATTTTGAGTAAAATGTAACGAATCTGAAATTTTCAATAATTGGTTTTGGGGAATTTAATTAATACTATTCAGATATTTTGTGTAGACAACGATAAGTACTTATTATTATAGTAGATTGTCGTTAAGTATATTTAGAAATTATTTAATATTTTTGGTCAGAATAAAATATATCTATTAATATAAATTTCTATTTGTCTATTTTAATGTTAATATTTGATATTTTTTTATTGACTTGTCAAATAAAAGAGTACATCATTTTTATATGTAACACACATTAAATTGTTAAATATAAAGCTAAATATCAGAAATGTTTGAAAAATAAAATACTCAATTAAATAATAAAAAATTATTTTATAATCATATAAAAATATAACATATATATAATGTTGGTATAGCGTCTTGGAAATGTGTTCGGGATGTTGTTGCATGTTAATAATATGTGATAATTTTACGAATATCTTTTTAAGATCTAAACCAAATATACATATATATTTTATAGTGATCGAAGAGATGGGAGTAAGCAGTGATTCCCACTTATTGAACGTATCCAAGTCGGCCCATTTACCACGACAAGGACCAGTGTCCAATAATACTGATAACTCCCATAATACATCATGTGGTAACATAGTCATTGTCGAGAATTCCCTTCACAACAGAAGCGTGCCTTCGTCGATGATAGTCCCGTTTAATAGTCAAAGTTCTGGTTTTCTGCCGCTATCCAACAAGTTGAAAATTTCACAAAAATCGATAAAGACAATGCCGAAAATTACAGTCAACGCCACCAACTTGCAGAAACTTCAAAAAGGAAAGTCCCAAAACATTCAGAAGAGAAACATAGCAAATGATATAGACGATGATCTGGGAAATATATTAGATATACCAATAATATTCGCTAAAGACGACGACAATTTGAGCAACATAAACAAGATACCAGTAGTAACACAAGCGATGCTGGCTAAGGATTCTCAGGAGAGACCAAAATTGAACAATACTACCAAGGTAGTTTTAATCAGCAATAAGCAAGACAAGCTGCAACAGATGCCAAATAAACTCGGGGCTGCTTCTACTCAGGCCGTTATATGTCCCAATATACCTGTACAGAACTTAAATCAGTTGATACTGCAGACACGGTCGCAGAACAGTAACATCTCGGCAAAAAGCAGGATAGGAATGTCGTTCGAAAATCGCTTGGTACAACCTACTGTGAAGTATACCAAGATTATACTGGCGAAAAGAAATTCGCAACCTGCTCAACAGAACGAGAGAGACGAGCAGGTGATTGCGACTAAGAAAATCATGGAAGATATAAATGCACCTAAAATCTTGACTTTTGAGAAAAATGAGCATAGATTCGTGCAAGCACAATCTTCCACAGCATCAACAACAAATTACGATGATCATAATATGGATAACGTGATCGAGATTGAGGATGCTATTAAAAAAAATATCATTGAACGTAAATACATACCCGCACCTGTAATCGACGAGACACCATCCATAACTTTTGACGATGATTGCAATATTTTCAACGAGACTAAATTAGATGAGAATGAACATGATTCGAAACAGTCTGTTTTCGGCAATATTGGTGAACTGCAAACGTAGAATATATAATTGCTTTACGAAAAATAACATAATTGCTTCATGATGTTGATTTTGTAATATTATAGAAGATACCTGCACAGTATGATTATTTCAATTTATTGTCGGTATTAATCTAAAAATATATACGTATATATATAATAATGTATTATATTTAAAATATTAGAATTAATATTAAAAATATTTATTTTAAATTACAAAATATATAATAATATAATATCCATTTTTTTATATTATATAATTGCTATATATATATTGTATATCATACATATTGTACTGATCTCTAAATTTTAATATGGTGTTATTGATATATATTTTGTTATTAACATTATAATACGCAATATCTGTTTTTAAGTTCTATGTGTTACGTACTCATGACAAAAACAGAAAAAAAAAAATGTGCACGGTACACTAAAAAAAATATAATTATATTGTTTAGTTATTCAAATATCTGATATTATTTAATTTTTTATACGCATAGAACGTTTGCTAATAGAATAAAATTGACCAAAGAATGAAAAAGACAAAAATAAAGTTAAATAATGCATTGTTATTTTGAAATTAGATATAATTTATAGAATGCCAATTTTTTATTATATAATTGTTCATAGATTTCTCTAAAGTGTGCCTCAGAAAGAATAAGAAATAATTGCGTAAAAATGCGTTAAATTTAATTTATTATCTAATTTAAGTATTACAAATAAATTATAAATTAACTAGAAAATGATTTTTTAAACGAAAATAAATTTGAAATCTTTTCGATCTATGTCAACAAAGGATAGAAGCATAGAAGAATAGAAGTTAATCGCAAAAATAGGTAAATAACATTCTAGGATTATACAATTGTTACATGATATGTATTTGTATTACAAACTTAACAGTGAAGGATTGTAGAATACATATAGATGAAGTTCTTATAAAAGCTTGCAGTTATTTTATACCTTAGTTCCTAATAAAGCATCCCCATTTAGTGATGTAAACATCACGTACATTTTTTTACTAAATTCAGGACCAATTTTACGTACGGTTGTGAGAGGTCCCGCCGCTCTTCGTATCTGTTAAATAATATTTAACTTTTGCGTATATTTATTACATTAATAAATGTTGTGTATTTAGATATATTTATTACATAATTAACTAAAATAAGTAAATCATATTAGAAACAGTTCAAATAATTTTATTTATCCTAATCTTTTAAAACAGCAAGAAATAAAACTAGAAGACTTACTGATATATCTTTTAATAAATTCATGCCTTCGTCAGGTGTGCAATTTCTATAAGCCTAAAAGAGTAGAAACACATCGTATTTAATTTACTATTTAATAAGCAAAATAGAGAACAAATTTTTCAACATTATATGTATAGCAGTAATTAATTATAACAATACCTTGATAAGCTGAATTGGACTAGGATAAACTGTACATATTGCCTCTGATATTTCCAAGCTACTCAAGTTAAATTGACACAATTGTTGCTGCCACAGTCTCTTTAACCCATTACCATCTTTGTCCACGCGCACTGTGTTCTTATTGTCTCCCATAACATACCAACTGAATTTATTTTCCTGACTCCTCTTCTGCAATTTATACGGTATTTCCGAAATGGACTTTGTATACTGGCATATTACTAAAGCTAAATCCTGCAAATTGTCGATCAATCTGCTGCTGCATTTAATTACTAACTGAATTTCAGTCAGGCACATCTCCAATTGCTCCCTTGATACAATTGGTAACGTGTCAAACCGTTGATTACCATTGCCTTTGTGTCTGGTACGTTTACCAGGATCAGACTTCCGTTTCTTCTGATATGCGAAATACTCTTCCATACCATAGATAATCAAGGTAATATTGTAATTTGGTATTAGAGCTTTATACTCTGTGACAGATGTGCAAAAAGTGTTTTCTGCTACATGTTTTATCGCTGTACAGTAGCTCCAAATCACAATAGCATATTCTTCCGTCTGTACACTTTTCCTTGTATGCGCGTTATTATCTTCGCCGATATAGTCCTCCTCGACGTTTCTCCGCCACGTAATGCTGTTAGGAATTATCTCGGTGGTTACATTGAATTTAATACCGGCATTTTGTAACGCACTCTCAATTTCTTCTCGTGAAACGACCGAGTCAATATTTCGATCAAGATTAACTTCCATGAACTTTATGCATTCGCCGGGCTTCATATTTTTCAACGTTTTCTTCTCGATCGCTTTTACGGTCTTTTCCCTCGCCAAAGCTTGCTGACGTCTCGCTCGTTCCTCTTTCAATGTTACCTTATCTTTCTTGGAAACTGTTGCCTTTCGCGAAATTCTATCAACCTGATTTTCCGAATCAGAAACGGGCGATTTTTCTGTATGTTCGTAGTCATTGTCGGCATTTAAATTACTGTCACCTTGCGATGACGAGCTCTCCGCGATTTCGCGGCAGAACGGCACCTCCGGAAAATCAAAATCATTTAAAGTGTTCGAATAATACTTGCCTCCGATCTCCGATTCGATCTTATCATGTTCGTCAGTAACGAGAGATACGGATTCATCCGAATCACTCAATATGATTACATTCGACATTCTTCTTGATTTTCTTCTAATGTTAGTTATTTGTCCTTGCTTTCTAACTTTTGCTCATGCCTCTTGCTTGCCTCTTAATTTTGCTTACCTTTTTCTCGTCTTCTTTTCTTTCTTCAAATCTTAATACAATCAGACGTCGGACATTTCGAAGGCATTATAAACAGGAGAAATTTAAAATCTGTTAGTATACTTTACATACATTATAGATATCAACCGCTACACGTGCACAGATTAACCGGCGTTCTCATCTAACCTATAAGGAAATATAAAATCACCCCAGAGTGATTTAATTCTCCATTCCACTTGTGTAAAAGTGTTGGTAAACATTTTGGTAATAGTTTCTTTAATTGATGTTGCTGACAAACATTCTTTGAAGAAGGCTAAAATTGATTTTCCGCCTTAGAATCCGTCTATTTATTAGGTCCGTATTCAGAACGTGTTCAAATTCAAACGTGTTTATTATTGATATAAGCGCGCTTTTATCTCTGAAATTCTTTAGTATGCGTAACGTAAACTATAGCATGTTTAGAGCGCTACATCGTTGTAAGCGCGTTCTGAATACGAGGGGATAGTCTACCTTTGTAAGTATACAATAATTTGTGTTGTACTTATGTCGATTGTTGTGATGGCCTGTTTTTTTTTTTCTATATCAGCCATAATAATTAATTGCAAAAATCAAATAATCGGTTAGTGCTAGAAATGGCTAATAAGTGCGCAATATACCGAAAGCGGTATAAACTAACTTCTCGTATTTACTTCTCAAAATCTCAAAGTAAAATCAAGCAAACCACACCGACTAATAATTGTGTAGGTTTACCTCTGTTGCGATAATTATACAAATTGTACGTATTTTAATGCATCAGTCGCAATGTTGAGTCAATCGAGTTTAAGGGGTATATGTATTATTATTTTTTATGTTTTAGATTGGTCAATCAGATTGAAATTTTCTTTTGTCTAAAATGGATTTCATCTTCACGCGAATCATCAATGGAATTGCAAATTGTAGAGGATGACGAGTTGCTCGATAAAGTGTTGCATATGAACAATGAAAAGATTGTCGAATCCAAGCAAAATGATACGAAGGAGGAAGATGTGATTTAGAGAACAGTCTTTCGTATGTACAAGGATCAGAAAGACAAATTCTGAACAATGTGAAAGGTATGTACTTCACGTATCTCGGATACTTGCGAGAATTGGCGCGAGTCCCGTTAAACCTCTGATGGCGGTCGCCACAGCTGTGTGGCGTTGCAGACGTTCGAGTCACTTCTTTTTCCGTTTTCCCATCTAGATTATATAAGCTAGTTAAGAATTTAAGATAGAAGCGCCTTGCGCGGTCTTGCGTGTATTGCGTGCGACATGCGTACCTTTTGTAAACACGGCGATAAATTGTAAGTAGCGCTTTGTAAGATGTATTATTTCTTTTTTAAGTTACGTCGCAAGATCCTAATTGTACATATCGTTAGACAATAATCCTATCGTTAATTCTAAGTTCTGTGTGTCATGTTCGGTCTCGCGATACCGTTATTATTGTTGTCATATGCACGCGATCACGTTTGAATAAGTAATTTGTACGTAAACATATTTATTTGAGTTTGTAATAAATTATCCTTAAACTTCTGAGTCAGATTCAGTGATTAACTTTCCACTGCCGACTAACTATTTTCCCGCCTTTTCCATTTCGCCTTCAGCGAGCCATCATTGACAGACACGCTCGGCGCAGTGTTGGGCAACGAGACACGTTAGCCCCCACAACTGGTGAACCTGACGTGATCGCATCGCATTAATATAATCGTCGACATGGCCAGTGGCTCAAGCCCCCCTTCGGGCGATCAGGGTAGCGGTACGTCGCCGCGTTCATCCGAAGAAATAACTCAAGCGCCGCAACTAACGCCTGCAACGTCACAGCTGCAAGCGGATTCGAAATCGCATCACCGGCCCAGAGACAATGTGAACAGGCCAGATAAATTGCATACTTGGCGCAAGAGGACGAGGCAAGACGATATGGATCATGAGCATACTAAGATTTCTCGTAACAGACGCTACTCCAGCGACTCTAGTACGACCACCAATTCATCAGAAAATGATAAAAGACATGTAGAGTACGAGACAGATCCAAATGTGCTGGCACGTAGACAAAAAGAAATTGATTATGGAAAAAACACTATTGGATACGATAGATATATTCAGCTGGTTCCTAAGTAAGTCTTATAAAATTAATGTGGTATATGAAATTTATAGTGATTTGTTGTGCATATACTATTTAATTAAAATCGCTATTTTGTTTCAGAGAGAATCGTACGCAAGAGCATCCAAGGACACCACCAAAATATATAAAATACAGTAGAAGAGGTTGGGATGGTATGATGAGGTTATGGCGAAAGCAACTTCATTCTTGGGATCCTCCTCAGGAGAACGACAACATTGACAAATAGGCTAAAGTCATCTTGTCATTCCATTCAAAATACTGCCAATATTATTTTCTTTAATTTATATTGCAATATCATATTATTTTAATGTCTTTATTCTCATATTACTTCTAGTTTTTCAAACAATTTTATAATATATTTATAACTAATTACATAATATAAGAAATATAACAAAGTGATATTTCTGTTCTCATTTATGTACAAAATTAAAACAACTAAAGGACTTTTTTTTTTTTTTTTATATGAAATAATAAACATAAAAATGGCATTGTAAGAGTTAAATAAATAAGAGAGATTTTCTAAACGACAAATTAAACCATATATTCTAAAATTTATCTATTATGACAGTATTTAAAAACTAACTTAAAATATAACATTAAATGACAGATATTTGTTACGTTACATTACATTACTAGTTTCGACCAACAATTCTGGTCCTCTTCAGATAAAACATCAACGTTGAAATATAAAATTATGGATAACACCATCAATACTTATGTGAAAATTATAAAATAGTTATATAAATCTGAAACACAATTAAAGATTGAACAATTATAGATTGAATGAACATATATTAATTAAACAATTGTAATTCTGAATTCTAAAAATAATAAATTAACAATGCGCAAACATACTAAAAGATTTATATTTGTATGTGAAAATATTACATCTATCATTTTGACTATTATTGTACTATTGTACATACATTGATACACGGACCAACTAATATTTTCACATACAAATATAAATCTTTTAGTATGTTTGCGCATTGTTAATTTATTATTTTTAGAATTCAGAATTACAATTGTTTAATTAATATATGTTATAATTTTCACATAAGTAATGATGGTGTTATCCATAATTTTATATTTCAACGTTAATGTTTCATCTGAAGAGGACCAGAATTGTTGGTCGAAACTAGTAATGTAATGTAATGTAATGTAACAAATATCTGTCATTTAATGTTATATTTTAAGTTAGTTCTTAAGTACTGTCATAATAGATAAATTTTAGAATATATGGTTTAATTTGTCGTTTAGAAAATCTCTCTT